TCGACATTTGTTGAGACTCTCACAAAGGGGATGTTTTGAGTTCTCTTCATCTGCTGACTATCTTTTTTGTACAACATTTTTAAATAAACTAATGCAGCTTCAGTGAGCATAATACGTTTTTAAAAAATACTTACTGACCCCAAACTTTTTAATGGTAGAGTAACTGTTAGCAGATTTGCAGTGTAACATATTTATTACTTATCTTTATTTATTGGTTTACAAATGCACCTAAATTTCTTACCCAGCTACATGTCAATCACTAATTTTCTGTAATCTTAGAAATGCTGGAACTTTACTATACAATTGAAAATGACAGGAGATACATTTTTTAAGTATTTACTAGCAAAATAATTGCTTGTATTTACATAATTGCACACTGTGTTAGTGGTATGAAAACACAAAAAAATGCACAAACTAATTCTTGATACAACACAACTTAAAATATTAAATATTCACATTGCAGAAAGATGAACAGTAATCTAAAACTTACATTAGGAGAAATTCGTGATAAACACTGCATTATAAATTTAGACTGATATGACACCTCATAATTTAAACTAATCAGATGCATTAACTGTGTATGCTTGAATGACCCACATATTTGTAACATTTTATGTTTGATGTGAGCATATCAAAACAAACTGAATCCATTTTTCCTAATAATTATTCAAAATAAATCAATGGGTCTTATTAACACAATCTTACAAACTATAATGCTGAAATACCCAATATTTTTGTTGAAGAATGAAAATGTGAACAAATATTGGTAATTGCTTTGAGCATAACAGTCTACTGAAATTTACAGAATTATGCAGTTCATACGATAAAGGAAAATGACCTCCACAACACCTCCATTTTTCATTCATTCCTCTCCTTTTTTTTAGGTGTTGGACTAAGTTACATAGAGGGTGATACATTCTAATGAAGGATACACTTTTTCTCCTAGCTCCCACCAAGAGACACACACACACCTCCCTGCACATACAAATTACTCATAAGTCCATCTTTTCTGTGGTTATCACTACAGTATCACTGTTTTTGTTTGTAGAAGGTTGCACCTCCAGGGTAGCATGAAGGCCTTGTGTTTCACTGTAAACAGAATCCAAAAGCTCATCTGGATCTGATGTGGTAGGGACCGCCGGCCTGGAGTTGGGAACAGAAGCTGTAGCCAGAGCAGTTTGAGGTGCTGGAAGGTTCTGTGCAGCCTGCTGGGCCTGTGCCATCCTCTCTAATTCAGCATGCTTTCTGCCTCTCCTCCGGCCCAACACTTTGACATAGTTGGCAGGTACGAGGCCAGTGGTCTGCCCATCCACACTGGCTAACAGCCAGCCACGCACCCTGGGCTGTTGTTCTGAAAATAAGAGTGAAATACACTGAGTACAAGCTTTAAGTCAGTGTTTATAATACCTAGGGACTAGGGCTGTGCAATTAATCGCATGCGATTGTCATGCACATCTCGTCAGTAAAGCCGGTTCCGTGATTAGTAGTAAATCTCCATCACCTGCTTTCAGACTGAGCGGCATTTACTACACAGAGCTGTAGTTCATTGACAATTAGGCAATATTGTGTTCATAATCGCAGATGAATCGCATTAGATTATGAACGCGATATCGCCTAGCTTGTCAGTGAACTACGGCTCTGTGTATTAAATGCCGCACCATCTGAAAGCAGGTGATGGCGATTTACTACCAATCACGAACCGGCTTTACTGTGGAGATGCGCATGACAATCGCATACGATTAATTGCACAGCCCTACCTAGGACAAAACGTACATGGTTTTAATATGCTTGACATCAGTGAAATTTTAAATGTTACATTGCTTAATATGAGAATAGTTGCCACACTAGCTAGAGTTTTTATGCATGTAAAAGTGTTTAAGTACTCTTGTGTTCAGAATGTTTCTTGTTCTTTTACCTTTAGGGGCAAGATTAAGCATGGCTCCAGCCTGTAGAGAGATCTCTTCCTCAGATGCAGCTGTGAAGTCATACTCAGCTCGTGCTACCACATGGTCATCCTCCCCACTTGCCCAGTTAGTGGCTATAAACCAGCACACAGACACATGCTTCAGAACTTAAACCCAGCACAAACATACAGATGCAGCTACATATTCTGACACTTAAAAAAAAACAAAAAACAAACTACATACAAATACATTTAGGTCATCCAATAATTTATATAGGCTGCTGATAAAGATGTGCATTTCTGTATAATAAAATTACTTAACTCTGCAATAAATTCAGTGACCGAAGTGCTGCTTCAGAAGTGTGAAGCTTCTTTCAGCATTGTTTGTGGTACAACACACACTACTGTTCTAGTTTGTTTTTGAAATTTATTATAATATTTTGCATTTATTTGATCAAAAGTACAGTAATATTGCAAAATATTATTACAATTTAAAATAACTTTTCTATTTTAATATTTAAAAATATTAATGTTGAAAACAGTTGTGCTGCTTAATAATATTGTGGAAACTGATATATTTTATAGAATAGAAAGCTAATTTATTATTTATTTAACTAATTAATTTATCCTAATTATTTAAAACAGAAATCTTTTGTAACATTAGAAATGTCTTCACTGTCATAATAAATGCATCGTTGCTTGATAAAAGTATTAATTTCTTTAAAAAAAAAAAATCTTACTGACCCCAATTTTTTGAATGGTAGTGTAAATCATTCTCATAATTGGTCCTATAGTCCCACATTAAAACCAAAATATAAATGGCAGTCATATATATGCAGTAGGGCTGCACAATTAATCAAATTTCTAATCGCGATTACAATTATGGATGCCACAATTAAGTAATCGTTCAAAGCGGCAATTGAATTTCTAATCGCAATTACAATTATGGATGCCGCAATTACGTTCAAAGCGGCAATTAATTGTTCAAAGTCCACTTATGTTATTCTGCGTGCTTAAGATGCGTTTTTTTTCTTTCTATATGTTATCTTAAGGGTTTTTCCATTGTTTTAATTTTAGTTTTGGTTTTAGTATAACATTATAATACCATTCATATTTTTACTTTTTTTATAATTTAAAGAAGAAACCAATCCGATGTATAGTTGACATTTGAGGCTTAATACTATTGAAAAGCACAAAGTTTTTCAGTTAGTGTTTTCAGCTTGTTTATTTTCATATAGAAATATGGCATGCAGTTGCATCAAACAATGGTATAAACATCATTCAATGTAAATTGTGACAATCCTAATTAATAAATCGCAACTACAATTTCAAGGGAATAATCGACAATTGTGATTTTTGTCATAATCGTGCAGTCCTAATATGCAGCATAATACTGGTCTCTAAAACTTTCACCATTGTCACAAACAAAATAATAAAGCAAAGGCCTCCTTGGCTTTTTAAGAAGCCTAATGTCAGACCAATAAATAGTGAAAAGAGTGTGTGAAGTTTAAGATGAGAACAGACAGAACAGGAAGGGAGAAAAATGTCTCACCATTTTCTTTAGGACCCTCAGCAGACCGCAAAAGCTTCCAGATCAAATACGGCCCTCCAAGAACTACAGCAAAAAACAAGAAAATGGGCCATGATTTGACAGAATTCGCTCTGGGGTCATCAATCCCTGCGTCTCTGGTTCCTGAAGCAGACACCATGGAGGAAGCAGCGCTGTCCGCCCACAAGTCATCCACCTCTGAATCCTGACGCAATCCTAGCAGCCTCTGCAGCCTGCGATATAGGTATCTAAGGGTCCTAACCAGAGCAAAGGCAGACAGCACTTTTGTGAAATGTATGCGCAAGCGGGAGAAGTGATTGGCCACATCCAGAACAGCACGGAAGCTGTTATAGACAGCAGAGAATGTAGCATCCATCATCATGCTGACTGACGAGAAGGCGTGGACAATGCTCTCAATGGACTGAAATGCTCCGCGGCTGCTCTCCTCCGCCTGCTGGACAAAGTGGCTGGGTGGGATGTCGTCCGTTGGGTTATAACGGTTATAACCCAGGCTGCCTCCAACTCCATAACCACTGTAGCTGTAGGGGCTGTAGCCCCCATAGATGGAGCTCCCATAAGGGCTGTATGACGAGGGAAATGAGCTGTATGTAGGGCGGTATGCTTGCTGGACGGGTCTTGGAGGGATGGGTGGTACCACACGTGTTAGAACTGGAGGACCAGACACTGATGGCCCACTTTGTGATGCTGATCCAAAGTCAGTTGAGCTAGATATAATAATAATAATAATAATAAACAGAGTCAAATGAAACACCATATATAATAAGACCAAGAATAATAACACTGTTGAAAGTGGCCAAATAAATGTATATTTAAAAGTAAAAGACAGAACACAGCATGGGTATGTAGGAGTGAACTTTGACACTCGCGCGAGCCAAGCATTAAGTTTGCGTAACTTATTAGCACAACTAAAAGTGTCAATACAACCCAGTATCGCATTAACACAAAACTTATGAACATACTTATTCATTTGATAACTAAATACCGATTTGACAAGTAAATATATTTTGAATAAATAAGAGTTCGATAGCTAACAGGCTTGCTAGCGTTCCTACACTTCGTCTTTTGGACGTAACGTTACTGGCCAAAATAATACGAGTTTTTACGAACCGATAGTTTAGTGGTGCAGTCATGGTTCCAGGGATTCGCCTTTCCCATGGTTTTGGTGGAGGGTGAGCCATGATTTTACGTTTCAGACCAAAGTCGAGCTGCACAGAGCAACAAACGTCATGAACAGAAACTGGCCCACACGCCAGACAAAGCAATCGCTCCTTCACATCGTTCTGTCTTGCGACACGAGACTAAAGCAATCTATCACTGAATCGATTGCAGTGTACTTTTTTCCTATTCTTGCTGTCTTGTTGTAATCTCACACAATTTAACATACAATAACCTGTATGAGGTGTCGTTAATGAATTCAATATGTAGGTGACCTGCCGCTAAAATGATTAAAACCGGACTCCTACTCGGCTGACGCTGCACATCAAGCAAAATCACCGACTAATCGGACCCAGACCCACCCTTTTTTACATGGAAATCGTGACCGTGTTATAGATTTGACATTGCTCTAGTCTAAGCACACGACGTTCTGCGTGAATAAACCAATAAACCTAGTTTATATTTCGAATTCTGTCACTACTGTTGTACCGGAGGAGCCCCGAGCCTATCGCTAGGACAGTTCAGTATGTCAAAGCAGTTCCTGATCCAGCACTGAAGGATTACTTTAGCAACCAACAAGCCGAATCAACGCAGCAACAATCAGATATCACATCGTCTGTCTCCAAACAACCAGAGGCCGCTTCCCCGAAGCAGCAAGAGACCACCGTCCCCGGCAGCAGCCCCAAACAGCAGCCGTCCTCGCCACCGCCTTCGCTGAGCGACACTCCGCACACCTCCAAAGCAGAGACATGCGATTTCCTCAATGCCATATTTCTGTTCTTATTCCGCGAGCTCCGAGACACCCCAGTCATCAGGCACTGGATCACCAAAAAGATCAAGGTAGAGTTTGAGGAGCTCCTCCAGACCAAGACCGCCGGGCGTCTGCTGGAGGGGCTCAGTCTGCGGGATATTTCTCTGGGCAACTCGGTGCCCGTCTTCAAAACAGCCAGACTCATGAAGCCAGTGGCTCTCAATGAAGACAACATGCCAGAGGAGCTAAATTTCGAGGTTGACTTAGAATATAACGGCGGCTTTCATCTGGCCATTGATGTCGATTTAGTATTCGGGAAATCGGCTTATCTGTTTGTGAAGATGACCCGTGTGGCGGGCCGCCTGAAGCTGCAGTTCACCCGCACGCCTTTCACGCACTGGTCCTTCTCCTTCCTGGAGGACCCGCTCATAGACTTCGAGGTGAAGTCTCAGTTTGAGGGCCGTCCTCTGCCCCAGCTCACCTCCATCATAGTCAATCAGCTCAAGAGAGTTATCAAGAAGAAGCACACCTTACCAAACTACAAAATAAGGTAATGTCTCAGTGTCTTACTGCTGTCACATGCTTACTGCAATACTTCTGTGCCTTGCTTACTGCAATACTTCTGTCCCTTGCCTTTGGCATGTCAGTGTAGTTCATCTGGGGTCTCGGGTCTGGAGTGAATGTCCTCAACTTTGGCAGAACAGTCAGAATTTGGGGGCTTGAAGATGGATGATTGCAGTTGATCCCAAAAATCCATTCCCTGCAGGGTTATTTTTCAGCTGATTTTGGACAGTGTTGTTTAGAGATATTGTTTAATGCCAATACCAATTATTATTATTATTATTTTGTTAAATAGTATGTTCGACCAATTTTTAATTTAAGATATTAATTATTTATCGTGATTTTTGACACAATAAAACTGATCAATTATAAAAAATAAATAATTAAATAAATAAATAATAAAAATAAATAACCTTTTTAGAAAGCAGCAGCAACTAATACTGCAGCTACTAATAATATAATAATTTTTAAAATAAAATTATTTTTAAATAAACAAAACAAATTATTATTATTGTAATAACATTAATTTGATATTTTATTGTAACAACAACAATATTTTATAATATTTTTAAAATATAAATATAATAATGTTATAAAATAATATTTTGTAGTAATTATAATTATTTGTATTATTTATGTCATAATATTTGTCATTTTTTGCCATCTTGACGGTTACAATTTTGTGTGTGTGTAATTTTTAAGCAACACATTTTTACTGCAGAATAAAAGACGTTTATGAAAGACCTTTCAAACAACACATTTAATAATTGGCTGTTGTTGTATATTTCTATTGAGAGACCTCCCAAATGGTGGCAATTAATATTAGACCCGTTATTAAGTTGATAAGTGTAATGTTCATCGTCTGTTTGATTACGTGTTTAATTGATTTTTTCCATACATTTCTGCCATATGTACATTAACTGACAGTCACCACTGATAAGCTACCACTATATATATTGTAGAAACTTAATTTTCTGTAAAGTTGCTTTGCAACGATTTGTATCGTGAAAAGCACTATACAAATAAACTTGAATTGAATTAATTATCTGTAAAAGATATCTCTCAAGCTATTTTCTGAGCTTTGCTTTTATTGTACACAAAGAGTCTCAAGAGGTTGTGAAACCGGTAGTGTGTGTTCATATCTGAAAAGGGTTGTGAAAAGTGAACAGACAGAAGTACTGTGGCATTAGACTATTGGTAGAGTCGTGTATCGAGAACAGCAAGTGTGCTTCATTTTCCCTGGGTGAAACTGGAAATGGAGGCCACCTTCCCCATTCAATCACGATTCCCTTTACTGTGCTCATATTCCTGACCTTTAAAAGTGAAAACAACTCGGAGGGTTTTGTTACTTCCTGTTTTTAGCCGAGAAAAAAATTAAGGTCTGTGACTAAGGCTTTCAACCAAGCTATGAATTGATTGCATGCAGGATTCATCCACCTACACCTCACTGCTCTCTATTACTCAGCATTACTTGGCACACCTAAAACTCCTTCCCCATTCAATCACGATTCCCTTTACTGTGCTCATATTCCTGACCTTTAAAAGTGAAAACAACTCGGAGGGTTTTGTTACTTCCTGTTTTTAGCCGAGAAAAAAATTAAGGTCTGTGACTAAGGCTTTCAACCAAGCTATGGATTGATTGCATGCAGGATTCATCCACCTACACCTTACTGCTCTCTATTACTCAGCATTACTTGGCACACCTAAAACGTTTGGTTGCCAATAAACATTAAGATATCTCAGAGTGTGTGTGCTTTGACTGGATTTCTCAGGTGTTGTATGTTCTTTAGGTTTAACATTGTGCACAGAATGGTCTGATGCACAGTCGTTTTTTGGCTCACCAGTCAAATTGCTCATCTTTCTGTTGACAGTGTCTGTGTACACTACAGTCAATATGAACATAATGTGCAAATCACAAAGTCAAACACAGCACTGAGCACCACACTGTGATTTTATCCATTAAGTTAATTGTAGTGTCAGTGGAAGGCAAAAATGGCTAGATTAATTTAATCTTCGTCAGTTCGAATGGTGCAATTTGAACTTTGACCCAACACAGCTGGGATTGTGAGAGTAGTGAATTAGATCACTGCGCTCTCTGTTAAACGTCACACTGAACTATTGATTAGTGTCTCAATACAAGAGCATGATTAGTACGATTAGTAAATTTCTTTTCATAACATTTCTCTCTTTCCTTTGGATTCAGCATCCTGGCATTGACGCTGTGCCCTCTGTTATACACCATAAGGACGCGTGCTGCAGAGCTAAAGAGTTTTAGTCATCACAGCGCGCACATACACAGCCGGCAGCAAACTTACTGAAGCTAAACGCTTTACATTACTCAAAGGGATAGAACTTCTCAATGATGTGAGACATTAAATGATACACTCATTTTCTCAGTATTGGCATCTTTCCAAAAGTCGGAATCACTTCATTGGTGTTTGTGATGAGGTATTTTTCCTCTTTATGTAAGTGGATGGGTGCAGCACAGATTTCATGCACTAGTCATGTTTTACCGCCTCAGAGTTTAATGGTGTTTGCTTTAGGGCTGAAATGAAAAGTACTTACTGTTTAATTTGTGACGCGGGAGGTGACGTTAAGGTGCTGACAATATTCTGTATTAAACAAGTGCGTCAGTGGGAACTTTGTTTAAAAGGCAGACAGTGTGGCCCAGGGACAAAACAAGCAGGCAGGCCACAATCCGTTTCAGTCATCCCTGTGTGGGATGAAAGTGTCACAGTCAGATGGAGGAGGTGTTCAGAACAGGACAATTGTCTGTGTGTGGACAAAACTGCCGGAGACTTGAATTACGTAGTGAGGTTGAAATGCTTTTAAAATACTATGGCAATAAATATGGCATGACAAATCAATAGATTTGCTGTCTGTTTTTTAGATAGCCGTTTTGTGGGTCACCAGGATGAAGAAAGAGTTTGACTTGGTGATTATAGTGGTGCTTCTGGTGAAAGTTAAAATGATTAATGGCTCGGATGACGAGATAACTTTTCTTTTTTTTAGGGTTTTGTTTTTTGGAATACTACCTATATTGCTGTTTTCTATTTGAATATATTTTAAAATGTAATTTATTCCTGTGATGGCAAAGCTTAATTTTTTCAGCATCCATTATTCCATTCTTCAGTGTCAAATGATCCTTCAGAAATTATTCAAATATGCTTATTTGCTGCTCAAGAAACATTTCTTATCAATGTTGAAAACAGTTCTGCTGCTTAATAGTTTTGTGGAAAGTGATTTTTTTTTTTCAAGATTCTTTGATGAATAGAAGGTTCAAAAGTGAAAAATGAAAATTATTAAATTACATTATTAATGTCTTTACTGTCTTCAATTCAACTTATCATTTCTGAATAGAAATATCAATGTCTAAAATCACTGACACAGCTTTTAAATTACAGCATTTATGTATGTATTTATTCCTTTATTAATTTATTCAATTGTTTTATTATTAATTTTTTCAATGTCTTTCTCTTTTTAGAAAAATTATTGATGACTTTTTTTTTCAATATAAGTAAAATGCAAAATAGAAGAATGTTCACTCTCTGATGTTTGGACCATTGCACATTTTACATAAACACTGCATTTGCACTGATTCAGTGAATCAACGTAAAGGACATTTTCATGCAAGGAAATGCTCTAATTTCCTCAGCAAACACCTTCTGTTATTGTGTAGAGGACGGTCTATTACGCTGATCCAGCTCCTTTGTCCAAATGTAGATCTTAACAGTCCTCAAAGGCAGGACAACGGGAGGTCTTACTCTTAAAGGGGTCATATGATGCTATTTTAAAGATCATTATTTTGTGTATTTGGTGTAACAGAATATGTTGACATGCTTTAATGTTCAAAAAACACATTATTTTTAAAATACTGTACATTATTGTAGTTCCTCTATGCCCCGCCAAACGCATGGTTTTCTGCAAAGCCCCTCCTTCTGACAAGCACAGTCTGATATGATTGGCCAGCTAACCCAGTGCA